CTGATGTGTATATTTTAATTATTTTTGCTAAAAAGAGCTTAAAATCATAATACAGTTCTATTAGTGGATACTCTAAATAATTCAATTTACTTTCCAGGGTGGAAAAATACGTGCCAAGCTAGTGTCAGAGCTTAGCAGAGCTCAGGGAGTGGTTATAGAGGAAGGGACTATTGGGCTTGCTGGAAAGGCCGCATCTCAGAGTGGCATGCGAAAGTACTTTTAAGAAAATCATTCTTTAAGCAAGTTTCAACTCCTTTAAAAAATGCTATATAAGAAAATCATTAATTAAGCAATTTTCGAATTATTTTAAAATATGCTATTTTCTTTTGAAAAAAAGAAAAGAAAAGATGCTTACTAGTTTTGTTCTGTTTCTTATTTGACCAGGAGCCTATTTTGTCTTAGTCCTGCTGGTGACACTCCATCATCTGCCAGATTATTTGATTCAATAGTTAGTGGCTGCATTCCTGTCATAATAAGTGATGAGCTAGAACTTCCTTTTGAGGGAATTCTTGACTACCGTAAGGTGTGTATACATGATATCATTTGGCATTTTGGCCATTGGTGTACCATGTCATTCATTGTTTTGACTTGAAGGATGTAAAAATATAACTTATTGAACTGAGATGTAGTTTGAATATAATAATAACCTAAAGTTAGCTTACTTGCACAGTATCTCTGTACTCCTGTCCACTGAAAAGAATTTAACTTGCTATATTGAGACATCCGACACTAGATTTTGCATCCAATTTATCTTCAACTGCTATAATTATTATAATCATGCGCTTAAAATCGGGATTCAAACAAAAAATTGTATGCTATTCAATACATATATGATGCGGAGAAGATGGAATCATACTCTTTTAATTTTCAAGACTGCCTTAAATGTACTCTCTAGTCTGTGGTTCTTTTCTATATATTGAGAGGGGAGGCCGAACAGCATTTTGTTTTCTTCCAGTCTCTGCAAACTGCATTGCGAGCTCATTAAATGGTATAAACACCTTTACTCTGTCTTCCTCTGGCAGATTGCTTTATTCATGCCGTCCAGTGATGCAGTGCAGCCCGGGTGGCTCCTTTCATTTTTGAGAAACGTTAGTACTCTTCAAATCAGAGAGATGCAAATGAACTTAGCTAAGGTTTGTATATATTGCATTGCTGGAACTGCAATCTTGGGTTTCATTCTTATTTCCGAAACCTTTGAAAATAATTTCCTATTATCATGAACATGTCCCATGGGAGTTTGCATAAACACATTCATTACCTTTGATCAAATAACACCATCATTTGCTTTTGATATCAGTTTTCGAGGCATTTTTTGTATTCTCATCCTGCTCAACCTTTGGGCCCAGAAGACTTGGTCTGGCGAATGGTTCGTTTGCTATCCTTTACCTTCTTCATCTGTTATTTCGTGTGTTACATTCCATGTTTTGCTAATTATAAGAAGTTAAAAATGTGAGGTCTTGATTCTTATATTCCTACAATATTCCCGAAAGCTTTCAAATCCAGCATCTCTAGTAGCCATCCTCAGAAATTTAGATGCCCATAGAAATATCACTCGTATTACTGGCCTGCTCAGTATGTAGCAAGCAACCTGTTGGGATGAAACATCATGATGAATCCATGTGACTCCATCTCTACAGCTTCCCACATATGACGAGTATGATTTCTACGAGTTTCTATTTTAGTAGTAGTAACAATTGATGTTTATTCATGTTGGGTGAGCAGATGGCAGGGAAGTTGGTGAACATTAAACTTCATACCAGGAGGTCGCAGCGCATAGTGAAAGAATCAAGAAGTCTATGCACTTGCGATTGCAGACGTCCCAACTTTACCAATGCATCTCTCTCGCTGTAGCTTTGTAAATTAATTTGCGTGTTTGTTTATTTGGGCTTTTGTCAACTTGTCGCACTTGTTTGCACTCTTGTCTTCTGTGATCAGAAAAGCTTGCTCTTTTTACAAAATGGGAATGTTGAGTGGCTACCTAAAGGCGTGCGTGCTCTCTCGGTAAGCCATCGTGGGAAAAGAACACAAGTGAAAGTGAACAAGCCTAGTTTACGCATAAATGGCCGGCTCCGGAGATGGCCATTGGGCAGCTTCAGTGTGATTCTAATACAACCATATGGTTGCTCCACTCTTGGGAATATGGATATTTTTTGGAATTTCACTAACACGGAGTAATATTTACTTGGGGTCGTCCCTTGTGCTATAGATGCTAGTGGTTTCCTACATAAATGCAACATTTGGAATTTCATGTTTGCTAATGCACAAATTAGTTCATTATTGTATCCAATTGTACTTCAATACAAACTTATAATCACCTGATATCTTGAAACTTTATATTGAGACTTCACCTGACTTTTTTCTTACATATATGAAAAATATGGTCAAGTGAGGTTTTGAAAAAAAGTTAAACTCCAGATGTTGAATCTATTTTAGAACATAAATACTTCGTCCTTAAAATAATGTCATAAACTGATTTTTTTTCAAGAGAAAAAAAGAGGATAAACTAAGAGTAAACATAGGAAAAGGAGTCTCATATTTTTATCTCTAAAATACAATCTATGTTTGTTTGAAAAAAAAACATTTAAACTTCACTTGAAAATTGAAACAACTATTCCTAATTATGCTACCATATCATGCAGTTGGTGTTGTCGCCCATACCTCTTGTCGTTGAAATTGCTATAATTGGAATGTGCATTGTTGCATGATCTATATGACTATATCACTTCTATTGTTGTTTGTTGTTGCCATTGTTGCCTCCATCTACCGTCGTCACACTCTGTTGTCATCGTTGAAATCTCCATAGCCTGATGTTGTCGCATGGTGTTGTAGTGACAGTGAATAAAAAAGCCTTTTAGTGCTACGCAAAGTGAAGCAACATTGCCAAGATGATGACACATGTTGACGCATGACACTACATAATGTTATATATTTTGCCAAAAAGAAAATGAAATGCCAGAAACACAATGATTTGCCAATATATAATGCCAAATTTTGTATTGCAATGCCAACAACAAAAATCTAAAAAGTATTGCTAGAAAACCTTAACGTCCCACAAGGGTGAGGTGAATGTCAACCACATCTACAATTTCAAATCTGTGTATGGTGCGCTTAGGCAAATTAAACATCAACCGTATGGTGCCAGAGCAATTTGCCAATTTCAATTTGTTGATGCGATTGCAATTTCATTAAACACCGACAGAATTGAACTGAAATTGACAAGATCTTAGTGCATTTGATGACCATCATCATAGTGCGAAACTTGTCGAGGTGAACCTACGAGTTCGTGCTCCCATCATAATATCCCATTCAGGTAACCTGAAAGTTCAGCGGCGTCGGAGCTAGGATTCGGTAAACAGAGTTTTTAGTTTCACAGGATTAATCCCATTCAACCTCCTCCTCGATCAGGTCCATCACCTCCCTCGGATCTTCCGACTTTGTTTCTTGTCTCCTCGGCATCGACCTGGCTAGCATCGACGGAGGTGGCTTGGACCCCGTGGAAGTTCGACACCACGTGAACTTGCTCATCCACATCCCTTAGTTCATAATTGCCACCAAGCTAAGGTTGAAGGCAACCTCTGACCTATAATGCTCACAATCTGCATGCAGTCAATGAGTTTAAGCACCGCCATATTCCAAGCGGCAAAAAGTCGATATGTTATGTCGTAGCTCCTTCACTGGTCATCGGGAACCATAATCAGATTCTAGCCTTTTGCACATGATTCGGCTTGATATGGTGGACACAACATTGCAAACATCTTGGGAATGGCTACTGGTACACCATCCCTCTCCAGATGCTCGTGGACATGAATGTTATGTCTTTGGAAACAATAGTATTCTTTACCGTCTCTCGGTACGCCCACGAGAGAAACATATGATTGTTGCATCGCGATAGGTGGCGGCATCACTGCTGGAGTCGTGGGAAGTAGGGCCAACAATCTCCCAGGCTGTTTTGTGCACTACTCATTCAAGACCAACTGGGGTTGGCTCACATTGCATGCTGCCACACCATGCTTATCAATGTCATGTGAAAATGGTCGCGATCGAATCCACCGACACTCCCCCTAGAGCCACGAGATCTGTTACGTTCCCCATGCAGGCGACTGCTGCTAGACTAGAATTAGTGATGGGGAGGGCCTGTGATTAACCATGGTTGGATAGGCGGTCCTGCAAGTCTCTACCCGCCTATTGGCTAAGGGTTTCCCAAAGATCCAAAGGACGCCTCTAAGAAGATGCATACTTCTTTTGCATGCATTGTTGCATGCTCATACTATGATATACTTCCTCTATCCCGAATTCATTTTCTTATTTTAACTTTTTGTTATTTTAAAGGGAGGTTGACTATAGGGGTGGGCGCACTTCGTGATATCATCGGAACCTATCACACACTGCTCTTATTTAAACGGTTCGGAATCAGTACAGATACCATTCCGTTTTGAAACGAAATGGTACAATACGATTGATGGGAAATAATACGTGGCTCGGCCCACATTTCCCAATTATTTACGAATAATAGTCAAACCGAGCTTGTTTAATAAAATGGAGGAATAAGAGAATATTTCTTCGTAGATGCTCTCACTCTCTCCTATAAAAGAGAGGGTTGCCCTTGATGTTGAGGAGGCCAAATCCACTCCATCCTGCCCAATTTCTTTTCTCTCTCTAGAATAGCATGTATTTTTCTTCTTCTTCAAAAGCTCAAAAGCTCCATTAATGGCTTCCTAGCCAAGATCATGTACCGTGTACAACCCCAATATTAATAAAAACCCTCCGTTGGCAAGGTACCGCCAAAAAAGGCTCGTGGTTTTCTCCCGATTTGGGTTTCTACATCAAAATTCTTGTGTTTATATTTTGGTGTATTTTTTAGACTAGTTTATCGCTTTTGTCTTGCTAAAAACGATATACCAGTAGATAATTTACACCATCATTTTGGCGCCACCCGTGGGACCCAAGCGAAAGGCCATATTTTTTTAGTTCCTTTGTGTGGTTCATCCAAAAAACACTAGATTGAGACAGAAGTGCAGATCAAAAGAATGGATTGAGATGTGCCAGTGCCGCCACACTAGAATTAATGGAGCGGCCAGAAGTCGCCATCCACGTTTAGCATTGGTGTAGGTTCCAAAAGAGCGCGATTCCATCGGCGAATGAACAAGCAGCCAATCATCCGCCGCCGCGAGTGCGGTGGTACACTGCTTGATCCTTTTCAGGTTGGCGGTCAATGCTCGGTCAATGAAAGGCCTAAAGTGCTTCAACAGAACCGGCGAAAGGGATAGTCATCCAGCTTCCAAAAGCGAGCAGTGGCCCAAGCATATCTGGACGCACTCCGCGACGGCTCTCAGCCCTCGAACGCCACCGGAGAAGCCAGGACGTGTCTAGTTATGAGCCGCGCGTAGGCCTCCGTCTCGCTCACGGACCACGTCACCAGCTCCGACGAATACGCCAGCTCCTCATCGAATCGCTCGCCCCTTGCGCGATCGTCGAGAACACGAGATGCGAGAGCGCCGCCGTGTACGCCACCCCGTGCGTCACGCCGGAGGGGCGGAGCGGCTGCATGTTGGTCTGTAGCTTTCGGCGGTGCGACATCAAGAGCAGCGCGTGCGTGTGGGGCCCATCCCCGAGCCGTTTCAACGCCGCGACGACGGATTGGAGCTGCTGATGGAGGCTTGGTGAACGGCATCTGCGAACAGATTCCTCAACTTTTGCCTCTGCTTCGCAATTGTTGTCCCCAACAGATTCCCCAACTTCTGCCTCTGCTCCCCAACAGATTCCCCAACGCCGCTGCATTGTTGTCTGTCGTTGCTTGCTCAAGATCTATCTAGTATTGCTGACCGGTGCTCTGCCTAGATTCACGACCACTGCAAAAACTTCTGCTGTCACCACTTTCACGACCGCCCCAGTATTGGATCACTCCTAGGTCGAGGTTGAAGAGGAAGAAGAAGATTACCAGCTGCTGCCGCGATTTCATCAAAGGGCATTTTGGATTTGTTCTTAGACGGTGAATTCCGACATTGCCACCGCGGGAGCCAACCGGTGCTGTTTCCACAGATCTGGTGATGTTAGGGTCGAGTACATATTCACGCCTCCCTTGATTCCTCTCCAGGAGTAAAAAGACAAACATGCAAGAGCAACTGGCTAAAACAAAGAAAGACACAGATCAGAGGAAGCTACGGAGAAAAATTCAAGGAGGAAGGCAAAGGCTTTGGTCCATTATTTCCTTTTTTGGGCCCACCATTATTTAATGGGAAAGGGCATGCACCAAAATTTGAATATGTGGTGGAAAGTTCGTGGAGTTCACGTGGGAATGAGAGAATACACTATTCACTATAAAAAGAGCCCTCTCTCAAATAATTGTTGGTCTTGTGAAGAAGATATTCCGTATCAAAGATGAGAATCAAAGGCACCATTTTTGCTCCACAAAATTATACAAAGTGGATTTTGGTGGGCCAACCATACACTGGAGTTTCACAAAGTTTTGGAATACTGAGACACAGGCCCGGACCTGGCACGCCGGTTATTACACCGGTCTTGCTTAGTATAAAAAAAAAGAGAAAACCTGGAAGAAGGGCCCGGATAAGGAGCATGCCTGCAAGAAGGCTGGAACTGGAAGAGGGTTCGAACCGTACTTACACGGGCTCATGAAGTTTGACCGGTATCGGGGAGTCAGCCGAGACCATCAAACTGATCGGGGACTAAAAGATGTCCATTCAAAGAAATAGAAAAGGATCGTTCACCGCAACGCATCCTACTCCAACCGGATTGGATTCCCTCTTCTCAAGGAAGACTTGAACGGGAGGGTGAGCTAAGGCCTTCCCGGAATAGTGGAAATCAAAGGGCCATTAAAAGACTTAATCGCCCGGAAGAGGGGGCCCTGGAAGAAGGGTGCATTTTGGGCCTTGGAGAGGGCTTGAAACCATCCGACATGGTTAATTTTCCAATGTTGATCTGGCCCGGTGAGCAACATTATCTTATAGGAAGATTAAGACACAGGCCCGGCCTGGCATGCTGGTTACTACACCGGTCTTGCTCAGTATAATAAAAGAAAATATGTGACCTAGTCGAACTGGTACATTGGTCTTATACCGGTCTTACACATATTTTTCAATGAGCATGAGCCCAATTGAATTGAGTACACCGGTTGCACATCGGTTTCAGCAAAAGAGTGAGTTGAGCTCATATCGGAGACGTTCGATTCATTTTAAGCCCTCTATCTGAGGCACTTTTATCGAAGATGGTCTCCGTGAAACATGAAGATATTTACATAAGTTAGTCGGGCTAACATTGATCTTCAACAAAGCTATCACGTCGTATTCAACTCTTATTAACTAACGTCGTTGTCATCAGTATACTAATTTCGTCACGCATCGTTTGCTTGACTCGTATTAACAACAACCTCGACGAAATGTATTATACGTATTATTTTATGCACGAAAAATATTTGAGCACAGCATAAGCTGGTCAAAAAATAAAAATGTATTATACGTATTATTTTATGCACGAAAAACATCTGATTCAAAAAATTAGAGAATTAATGACGACTCGGGGGACTAACAATATCAACCGGTCAAGAATGGAAAGTAAGAAGACTGAAGATAGCACTCGGAGGACTTGTTAACTTTTTTAAGTTGATGATTCTCACAACTTAAAAAAGTGGAGGACTTCTTGATGGGAAATAATACGTGGCTCGGCCCACATTTCCCAATTATTTACGATAAACGGTCAAACCGAGCCTGTTTAATAAAATGGAGGAATAATAGAATATTCCTCCGTAGATGCTCCCACTCTCTCTTATAAAAGAGAGGGTTGCTCTTAATGTTGAGGAGGCCAAATCCATTCTATCTTGCCCAATTTCTTTTCTCTCTCTAGAATAGCATGTATTTTTCTTCTTCTTCAAGAACTCAAAAGCTCCATTAATGGCTTCCTAGCCTAGATCATGTACCGTGTACAACTCCGATATTAATAAAAATCCCCGGTTGGTTCTGTCCGTGATAATCGATTTTAAATATTTGTATCACGGTCCCATCCCGTTTGATATCGGTTCGGTTTCGGTTCATGATCAAAAAATCAATCCCGTTTAAAAACAATATAAACACTTCGGTACCATTACAGTCCGGTATGGTATCATGGTGGCCGGTTCGGTTTTTTTGCCCACCCCTAATATCCAAAGTACCCTTACTAAAAAAGAGAAAATAGGTCGGTTACTGGAAATTTTTAATGAAAAGGAAATTATTTTTTTAAAACACACATGCATGTATGTGTGACTGAGAATTCGAGCGGTGAAAAAGAAGAAACAAATTAAATTTGGACAAAGGGAGTAAGGTTGTGTTCTATTTGGTTGATCTAATCTAAATTGAAGTTTTTATGTCTCATCTAATATGAATGAATCTGATCTGATTTTAATGGATCCAATCTAATCTGATTTAAATGGATCTGATCTGAATGGATTATTTCAAATTCTAATAATAGAAATAATAATAAAATTAATAATAATAATAATAATTTAGTATTATTTATTAATAATTATTTTTTATAATAATTATTATTAATATAATAAAAAACTAATTTTTATTATTAATATTTATTATTTAATTATTATTATTATTATCATTATTAGTTTCATTATATTTATTAATATTATTATAATTAATTATTATTATTGTTATTAATTTTTTTTTTATGATTATAATTATAACGGAGTATAAATTATAATGTATGATAATAATAATAATAATAATTTATTAATTATTTTTAATTATTATTATTAATAGTATTAAAATAATGATTTTTATTATTAATAATTATAATGGTAATTATTAATTATTATTAGTATTATTTTCATAATTCCATTAATTAATATTAATATTACAGGTTGTGATTAATGATGATGATTATCTTTATTAATTATAATTTAAAATAATAATAATAATAATGAATAACAATTTATTATTAATCATTTTAGTAATTATTATTAATAATATTAAAACAATAATTTTACTATGAGTAATTATAATTTTAATTATTAATTATTAATATTATTTTAAATTCTATTTATTATTATTATAATTATAAATTATAATTATTATAATATTAAGTGTTATGATTAATGATGAAGATTATCAGTTATTATTATTATATTTACAAATAAATGTTAATGTGAATTGTTATTATCATTATTGTTAATTATTATTCGTTAAAAATTACTCCCTCCGCCTCCCTAAGACCTTCTCGTTTTGACTTTTTGCGGTTTTTAAGGAGAGTTGAAAAAAGGTGAAAGTTTACCAAAATACCCTTAATGAAAATGGGTGAGGTGTATTAAATAAGGTGGAAAAGGTGTAATAAATAAAGTAAGTGGGGGTAGTTGAGGTATTTTAAATGTTAAAAAGGTAATGAGAAATTCTGTGTGGGACAAATAAAAAGGGCTAATAGGAAGATTTATGGGGGATGGAGGGAGTTTTATTATTATTATTTTAATTATTATTATTATTAATTACTATTATTATTTGTTATTATCATTATTATTAGTTAATAATAATTATTAACATTATTATTATTATTAATTATGATAACAATTAATATTATTGTTATTATTGTAATTATTAGTATTACTTTAATGCGGAGTGTTGTTCATTTCTTAAATACTTTTCTGATATGAATGAATCTGATTTAATCTGAATAAATTAGATCTGATCTAAACTGATTTGAATGAATCTAATCTAAATGATGTGAATCTGATAAAAATAAACGATAAGTAGCAAAAATAACTTGAAGAGAGGGTGCCTAACACTTAATTTCATACGGAGTGTATCAGTGTTTCGCTGCTCCCAAGGAGTTGATCCAGGGGTGGGAGTGTGGGACCCTACTGGCCATGACCCACTAACCCCCCTTCCACTAGTCGTGTGTGCCCGTCCCGAGTGTGCTCCTTCTTGGCTTGCCTTGACTATAGTCGAATGTGACACAACCTACCGCTATTTATATTTTTGGCAATGTTTGTTTCAAAAGTAATTTTCATTTGTCAGAAAGTTTGTAATTCATCAAAAACAGAAAGATAACAATATTAAAATTATAAGAAGCTTTAAGACAATGTCCAACACATATACGAGTATCATTTTTTTCGAGATTTTAAAGCTTATATTTGCTCTGCTCATAATAATCTACCTACATTTCTATTTAAGTTGTTTCAAAATTTTCTTCTTCTCTATTTTTAAGGAAAAAGATTATATTTTCTACTACCTCCGTCCCACAAAACTCTTCCTCTTTCGTTTTTTTGCTTTCCACAAAACACTTCCACTTTCTATTAAAAAACCACTTTTACTCCTACTTTTTCATATCATACCTATCACATCATACTTTTTCACTAATAACCAAACTATCACATCTTACTTTTTCTCATCACATCAGAGGCAAAATTGAAAAGTCAACCAAAATTACATTTTCCTTATTTTTCCCCAAAATCAAAACCGGAAGGGTTTTGTGGAACGGAGGGAGTATAAAATTTCTTTTTCTTATACCCAAGTCGTAACAACACATGTTTCAATTTATTAAAAATCGTATATAAGTCAAATAAAGAAGTAAAATATGTTTGGGGGAGAGTATCAAATTACAAAATTTATCAAGCTATGAGTAAAACATTGAGAAAATATTAAAATAATTTATTTTGATATCCTTTAATATAATAAAGGAGACTCAGATTCATGGGAATGCGACATTTGGCATGCTTATTTGGCAAAAATTGAACACGTCAGCGAGCCTCATAATAATAGTAAAATTAAAAGAAAAATTGCTACGGACTGCACCAGCGGAGTTCCCTATCCTTTAATCAGTTATTCCACTTGAACGCAGAAGTTTCTGCGATACTTGCTGGACTTCAAAAAAGGAATCGCTGGTTTCAAAAAAATTATTTCCTTCGATGTTCGCTGGCTGAAGATCTGCCGATAATGTATACTTATAACCCAAAAAAGTGATATATATAAATATATGTTTTCTGATTACAACAATACGAACTCCTATTATGATGATAATATAAAATAATTAAAAATAAACATGAAAAAATATAAATACTATTTTAAAAATATATATAATATTTTTCATTTAATTTAAATAGAATTTTAGGACCATGCTACATATAAATACTATTTTAAAAATATAAATAATATTTTTCAAGGTAGCCCGAAAGCTGAATTGATCCAGCAAGCAAGTCTGATCATATTGGATTAAGCATGCATGATGAATAGATTTGCTTTTGAGGCTTTCGATCGCACAATGAGAGATATCATGGGGTTCTCTAATGGTAACTACAAAAATGAACCATTTGGAGGGAAAGCAGTTATACTCGGAGGTGACTTTCGGAATATCCTTCCAGTTTTACCCAGAGCTTCGAGAGAGGAAATTATAGGTGCTACGATCAATTCCTTGCATTTGTGGTCGTACTGTAAAGTTTATACGTTGACCAGGAATAAGAGACTACATTCATCCACGTCTTCTTGCACATATAGGGACACACAAGCTTTTTCTCATTGGATAATCAAAATGGGTGGTGGAAAGCTAGGTCAGGTGATGGATAAAGCTGGTGATGTTGAGATTTCGCCTAAATTCTTAATTCTTGATACAAGTTCTCCTATGAAGAGTATAATGGATTTCACTTATCCAAATATATTAGCGAATATGGAAAATTGTTCTTTTTTGAGGATAGAGCACTATTGGCACCAACTCTCGAAATAGTTGAAATGATAAATGAATTTGTTTTGTCCCTCATTCCTGGTGATGAAAAGGAGTATTTGAGTTTTGATTCTTCGTACCAAACAGATGCAGGTGTTGATGGAGATTGGAAAATAGTTGAGTTTTTGAACGAAATCAAATGTTTGGGAATCCCAAACCACAAAATAGTCTTGAAAAAAGGGGTACCGATTAGGCTATTGAGGAACATTGACCGAACATCTAGATTGTGTAATGGGACAAGATTAATCGTTCAAGAGCTACAATATAATATTATCGGTGCAATTGTGGTTTTGGGATATCGAGTCAGGGAAAAAGTTTACATCCCTAGAATGAATTTGGTACCATCTAATCCAGGTCTACCCTTAAAGTTCCAAAGAAGACAATTCCCAACCGCCTTACGTTTTGTTATGACTATCAACAAAAGTCAAGATCAAACATTGTCATTTGTGGGATTATTTTTAACCAAGTCCGTGTTCTCACATGGTCAACTATATTTTGCTGTTTCATGAGTGAAGACAAAGACAAGATTAAAGATATTAGTTCTAGATGACAATGGAAACCCTTGCAACCAAACCAAAAATGTTGTATACCCTGAAGTATTTTAGAAAATTTGGTATTAAAATAAACATTGTTAACTCTACATTCTGTTCCTCAAATATTAATTATTTTATTTGGGCTTTTTTCATTTGTAGTATTAAAAATCATGTGACGAATATATTTTCTTTATTTCGAAAAATAAATTTCATTGAAATAATTCAGAATCGACATAAATTTCTTTCGACCCCGTGCATGGCACGGGTCGGAATGCTAGTTTTTTCATGTTTTATACTCTAGTTTAGTTTTCTTGCTTTTTACCTAGTTTAGTTTAGTTTAGTCTTCCGAAATTCACAAATTCCAACATAAGTTTCTTAAGGCCGCAAGAATGAAAAAAGTAACACAAAAGGAAAATGCTAAAACCCCCCTTGCTACCACCTATGCCCCCTTACATAAACATGTGGTAGGGAGGCAAGAAAATTAAAATTAGAGGGTGGGTAGAAAATGAATAGAAATAAATATGTGGTGAAGAAGTGGGTGGAGGCAAAGTTGGTAGCAATTGGTGGAGTCTAACATGGTCCTAACACAAAATTGTGAAAATGTGTTTGCTACATCTTGTCCGAAAGTCCAAACAACTCATCCATCCATCATTCCTGCTCGCTGCCAGCGTTCCCGATCAATTAACAAAAGATTAAAAAATACGGAGTATATATATAAAAAAAACTCCGCGTGTTATCTCCCTTTTTCTGCAACCCGAGTATATTGCCGAAGAAAAAGCCAGCGCAGTTTGTTTAGAGTTGAGTACTGGCTGTTGACGCCTTGACGGCGGCTGTCCGGCCAAATCCACCGCCGATCGATAAGAGCAGTTGCATTTGTACCGGACTTTTGCGTCTTGCTTGTTTCAACTCCGGAGAGTCTCGTTCCCACCGTTGAAATGGCATCATCTCTTTGTTCGAGGTAGCACCCGGATGCCACTTTAGAGCAGCGAACTCTCTGTTCATCTATCTCTTATTCGTATTCGCCGGATTGTTACGGTGAAAATAGCTCGATGATGCTTTCATTTTACCGCTACGGTTAATCTATCGGATTCGGCACTGCAGGGATTGGAGATCCGTACGTTGAATCTGAAACCATGGTTCAGCTCTTTGTCTGCTTATCGCGTTGACAGGTATGTGTGTCTCTTTCTCAGCTGGGCGCGCGCGCGTGTTTGCTTGGATCTGTGTGATTTGACTTGTCCAATTTGACTTGTGTGGGACTTGATTTGAACTACTACTACTACTAATTCTCATGATTTTGCTACTCTTGTTAGGATGTTGTTGAGCATTTATGAGACTGGTGATTAATTTGTGTTTGCCATTTGGTATAGTCTAAACCTGATCTAGTCATAATTTGAGGATACGAGTGTGTTTTGTTGAAAACTGTATGAAATGTGCTGTGTAAATATCTTCTAAAATTTTCAAAAGTATTTCAATACCAGTCTGTGTCTGTTTTGCTTCCAGGATCTGGATATTGAATTGGGGGTCCTCAGAAATGGCGTCAAAACCATTCAACCAAAGTAGATCGTCACTCTCAATATCCTCAGATGTGCAAGATTCACAAAATGGCAAGCCTCCATTGCCCCCAACAGTGACCTTTGATCGAAGGACCTCCTCTGGGCGATATGTAAACTATTCTAGGGATGATCTTGATAGTGAGCTCGGGAGTGTTGAATATATGAACTATATGGTACATATACCACCCACCCCCGACAACCAGCCTATGGACACCATTTCCCAGAAGGTTGAGGAGCAGTATGTATCAAATTCTCTTTTTACAGGAGGGTTTAACACTGCCACACGAGCACATCTGATGGATAAGGTGATTGAGTCGGAGTCGAACCACCCCCAGATGGCTGGCGCAAAAGGATCCTCTTGTTCCATACCTGGATGTGACTCTAAAGTTATGAGCGATGAAAGGGGAAATGATATTCTTCCTTGTGAATGTGATTTCAAAATATGTAGGGATTGTTACCTGGATGCTGTTAAAACTGGGGATGGAATGTGCCCTGGCTGTAAGGAGTCATATAAGACCACTGACTTGGAAGAAGTAGTAGAAAGCAGAAGGCCACTTCAGCTCCCTGCACCTACACCTGCTGGTGGGATGTCAAGAATGGAGAGAAGATTGTCCTTGATGAAATCAACAAAGTCGGTGCTAATGAGGAGCCAAACTGCAGAGTTTGATCAAAACAGATGGCTTTTTGAGACGAGGGGCACATATGGCTATGGAAATGCTATATGGCCGAAGGAAGCAGGGCATGCAAATGGGAAAGATGATTATATTGCCGAACCATCTGAGTTAATGAATAAACCGTGGAGGCCTCTCACCCGCAAATTGAAAATTCCTGCTGCTATCATCAGCCCATATAGGTAAATATTGTTTATTTCTTCTTTTTTGCTACTTAAAGAGTCATGAAAGTTTTTGGTTTTGCAATTGCAATACTCTGAGATAACTGGACTCCAATCTGTTTCATCTGTTGTAACCAGAGTTGGATCTGCCAGATCTTTTTTTAATGTCCATAGCTAGATCTTGAGATACTTCCCGTCTTTTTGATTGAATGCCATATGTTGGTTAATTCTGATATATGTATATTCACTAGATTTGTTGCTTATTCATTGGAAGTATCTATTGCTTAATGTTATAAAAAGTTAGTTGTGCATCATCATATCATACTTTCCCCAAAAACATTCTGTAATTCCTAAATGTGCTTCTTCCAATAGCAGTAGTGACATTCTTCTGATCAGATTATGGGGGATTCCTATTGTCGTGAGAATTTTAAAGTAAACCAGTGTGTTATTTACTTACTGGATATTTGTACTTTGACCTCTGCCTGACAGGAATCTTAAAATTTTCTTGCTTTCTCTTGCTTCTGTTTTCCATCAGGCTTTTAATTTTTGTTCGGATGGTTGTTCTTGGGCTTTTCTTGACATGGAGGGTCAAACATCCTAACAATGATGCTGTTTGGCTATGGGGAATGTCAGTGGTTTGTGAAATATGGTTTGCTTTCTCTTGGATTCTTGATATACTACCCAAGCTTTGCCCTGTTAATCGTGCTACTGACCTTAATGTCTTAAAGGACAAGTTTGAATTGCCTACACCTAACAACCCTACTGGAAAATCTGATCTTCCTGGTGTAGACATCTTCGTCTCTACTGCAGATCCAGAAAAGGAACCCCCTCTTGTTACTGCAAACACTATATTGTCCATTTTGGCTGCTGATTACCCTGTAGAAAAGCTTGCCTGCTATGTTTCTGATGATGGAGGGGCACTTTTGACTTTTGAAGCCATGGCAGAGGCTGCAAGTTTTGCTAACATATGGGTGCCATTTTGCCGTAAACATAACATTGAACCCAGGAACCCAGAAAGTTATTTCAATTTGAAAAAAGACCCATACAAAAACAAGGTGAAGGCTGATTTTGTAAAGGACCGGAGAAGGGCAAAGCGTGAATATGATGAATTTAAGGTCCGCATCAATAGCTTGCCAGACTCTATCAGACGTAGATCTGATGCTTATCATGCCAGGGAGGAGATTAGATCCATGAAACAACGCAGACAGAATGCTGAAGATGAGCCTATGGAGGTTGTAAAGATTCCAAAAGCTACATGGATGGCAGATGGAACTCATTGGCCTGGGACATGGATAAATTCTGCACCCGAGCAATCCAGAGGTGATCATGCTGGAATAATACAGGTAGTTTTCTGTTTGCTCATTCTAAATGACATATACCCAAAAATTACCCTGAGCTTTCAACAAGCTAAATCCATAATTGATTGCTCGTGAACTTTTTAAGTGTCCTGTTTAGCCTATAGTCTGGCTAAAATAGCTGTGTTATGACCCCGAGCTTTTAAGGGAAGTCCTTATTGATTTTGGACATGTCTTCTATGTAGATTTTACACAATAATACTATTAGGCACATGAAGAAAGTTGTAAGCAGTAATAACACCAATTGATATGACAAAATTATTTATCACAACCCCACAACATTCGTATAATAATTTGTTTTTATAATGTGTCTTTTAGTTTGCAACTGAGAGCTTTCTTCACATACCTATGTATGTGGCATGTACAAAATAAATTAGGGCGTTTTTTGAAAGTTACAAAGTCATTCTTGAGTTACTTACAACGCTAGTATGGTTAGGGTCAATAAGATGTTTTTTGTTAAAAGTTCATGTTCATTATTGGATATTTGAAGTATTATAACTTCTAAGTGATGAAGAAATCACAGTCAAGTCTGTGAGAGTGAAAAGCAAAGTATATAAGATGCATATCTAACGATCTTCTTTGTGAATGGCGCATAGGTGATGTTAAAACCTCCAAGTGATGACCCATTGCACGGCACAAAAGATGATAATGTGATTGACCTTACAAATGTTGATATCCGTCTCCCCATGCTTGTTTACGTGTCTCGTGAAAAGCGGCCAGGGTATGACCACAACAAGAAAGCAGGAGCCATGAATGCGCTGGTTCGAGCTTCTGCAATCATGTCTAATGGACCCTTCATTCTTAACCTAGATTGTGACCACTACATTTACAACTCCCAGGCTTTGAGGGAAGGAATGTGTTTCATGATGGACAGAGGTGGTGACCGCCTTTGCTATGTCCAGTTTCCTCAGAGATTTGAGGGTATCGATCCATCGGATCGATATGCCAATCGCAACACCGTCTTTTTTGACGGGAACATGCGGGCCCTTGATGGTCTGCAGGGGCCTGTCTACGTGGGCACTGGGTGCCTCTTTAGGCGGATGGCACTTTATGGATTTGACCCGCCCAGGTCCAAAGAGCACCACCCTGGTCTCTGTAGTTGCTGTTGTTTTTGGCGAAGCAGCAAAAAGAATGCCAAACTTTCCAACTCAGAAGAGCATCGAGCCCTCCGACGCACAGGTGATTCTGACGATGAAGAAATCAGTCTCTCATTGGCTCCCAGATCTTTTGGAAACTCGGCTGTGCTTATTGATTCGATTCCGGTTGCAGAGTTTCAAGGCCGTCCATTAGCAGATCATCCGTCCGTTAAGAACGGAAGACCGCCAGGTGCTTTGACCATTCCTCGAGACCTTCTAGATGCTACTACTGTTGCTGAAGCAATCAGTGTTGTCTCCTGCTGGTACGAGGAGAAGACCGATTGGGGCCGGCGTGTCGGATGGATTTATGGTTCGGTTACCGAAGACGTTGTCACGGGATATAGGATGCACAATAGGGGGTGGAAGTCGGTTTATTGTGTGACGAAACGAGATGCTTTCCGTGGGACGGCCCCTATAAATCTTACCGATAGGCTCCACCAGGTCCTTCGCTGGGCCACTGGTTCTGTTGAAATATTCTTTTCTAGGAACAATGCCCTTCTGGCCAGCTCAAAAATGAAGCTCTTACAGAGAATAGCATACCTCAATGTTGGAATCTACCCCTTCACATCCATATTCTTAATTGTGTATTGCTTTCTTCCTGCACTTTCCCTTTTCTCAGGCCAATTCATCGTTCAAACCCTAAACGTGACATTCCTCACTTACCTCCTAACCATCACCGTCACACTCTGTATACTCGCGGTGCTTGAGGTCAAGTGGTCCGGCATTGAGCTGGAGGAGTGGTGGAGAAATGAGCAGTTTTGGTTGATTGGAGGGACGAGTGCCCACTTGGCAGCTGTTCTTCAGGGCCTCCTCAAAGTCATCGCGGGGATTGAGATTTCATTCACTTTGACATCAAAATCAGGCGGTGACGACGAAGACGACGAGTTTAGTGATCTATACATAGTTAAGTGGTCATCACTTATGATACCCCCCATCACCATCATGATGGTCAACTTAATAGCCATAGCCGTTGGGTTCAGCCGGACCATATACAGTGTCATACCTCAATGGAGCCGCTTGATTGGAGGCGTTTTCTTTAGTTTTTGGGTTTTGGCGCATCTTTATCCTTTTGCTAAAGGGCTTATGGGCAGAAGAGGCCGGACCCCAACCATTGTGTTCGTGTGGTCGGGACTTATAGCTATCATTATATCCCTTCTCTGGGTTGCAATTAATCCTCCGGACAACACAAACCAAATCGGTGGCTCCTTCCAATTCCCATGATCATCAAACTCAAGCCGATCGGCGTGTAAAACCAAACGGAACCAAACACTAACGGTTCGGTTCGATTTTTTTACATTCGGTCTCGGTTTTTTTGGTTCGGTTTTTTTTCTAGCTCGTTTCGATCGATTTCGGTTCGGTTTGCGGTTTTCGGTTTTCCCAACCCAGCCCTACCGGGTATGTCTTGTCTTGTCTCCTTGGTACCTACCATATAGAGAAGTATAGCTTGCAAGTCTAGTCGGTTAACAAGATGGGCAGGCTACTTAAGTGAGTTTAAAAGGCAGATGTTCTGTTCTTCTTGGCTCATGTTGGGGAGGAATTTAAAATTTGTTCATAATTTGTCTGCAAATGATTTTCTTATTGCAAGCAAGAACTGAGTTATATTTCATATTGAGTTCTCTACTTCTCTCCGGCCTTACATCTTCAACCAATGATTTTTTTTTCTTTTATTACTCTTGAAATGCTAGAAGGAGAATTGGGGGTGGATGGAGAATGAAGTCAGGAAAGCTGAATTAAATAAACACGTTCAGTGTTAGACTCTACTTGGCATCATCCACTTGGACTAGATATGAGTGTATTTTTTTTATTTAGGAAATTGAATGCCTTTTGAAAGACATTTTTATGTGAAAAGTATATATGGACTAAAGGACATGATATCCATTTAAAAGGAGAAAACATTAAAAAATAGAGTAATTTACGCAAATGAGACTTATTTATCCATTATTTTTCCTTAAATAAAATTGGTCTTATTTACAATAACGTTTGGCAATAAAAAGTTCTAAAATATCCTGTCTTTGAAAATGTGAGTGTTTCGTTAATAGCTGGAAAAATGACAAGCATCCAAAGTGACTACAAATAGATATTAATAATATCCTCTGTTAATAGGTCATTTTATTAATATGACTTATGATTGTTTGTAAAATCTACTGAAATGTTTACTAAAAAACTTTATGGTATGTTTGAGAACATGGGTTTGGATTTCAAATCCGGATTTGGCTCAAATTTCATGTTTGAGAAACTTAAAAATTTAAATTTAGATTTGGGTCAAATTTTTCTCATTCATAACAAAGCTTAATTTGAAATCTATGCACCTCCTTTTGTCATTTGAAATTCAAGATTTTAAATTTTGAAATTGAAATGCATGAATTGAAATAAAATGCTAGTTACCAAACACCCCCTTAAGTCATTATAAAAGAATGACCAATTACACAATTGAAGTAGAATAAAACATTATTAAAAACAATTTGAATAATCATTAAAATAGTCAGTCATTATCCAACACTTGTTGTTAATGACCATACTCGTAGAGTCATTCGTATAAACAGTCATTATTCAATACTTGTTGCTAATGAGTGCATATATGACAGATCATACGGAAATATTTGCCATAAATGAAATAAAATATATCTGATCCTATTAAGAGAAACATGCTATCTTTTAGTCTATATTGAGCAATTTTTTTCTAAACATAAGAGTATCTGGTGTTCGAAACACTTGAAGCCATATTTTTCAAGCCGTTCACCGCGATTCGGAAAGTTGTGATGGTCATCCATATTTAAAGTCCAAAGTGCGATTTTGGAATGTCGGAATTAAGAAACTCTAGATTTGACAAAGTTTTGCTTAGCAAGAGACTAGAAAGGAGCGCACCAAACATTGGAAATTTGTAAAATCTATCGTAAAGTGGGACAGGGAAGATGGGAACATACTACGAAAATGACATAGAAGATATAACAATTGCATAAATGTTTTTAAATTAGACTTACTTTGGTGGTACTTACAAAAATATTTCAATCGGATAAAAAATACGGTGTATATACTTGGAACAACTTACCTCTGTATCTATAGATGAAATTTGACGATTTGTGACTCTTGAATTGAGCCGACACAATGCTTTGGGGAGTACTCGAATGTTACTTTGTAGCATTCGAATGCTATAAAACTCTTTTTTTTACTTTTGTCTAATTTCATTGTCCAAAAACATTCAAATGCTATCTAAGGCACATTCATCCAGAACCCAAAAACATTTGAATGCTAGTTATAGCATTCGAATGTTGAATACTTTTGACAACAAGTCATGGGGAATTATATCTTAGTATTACCTTCGCCCTAAAAAATCTCATTTGGCTTCGTGTATTCAAAATTAAGAAAACTTTGACCATCAAATTTGAAAAATATATATTGAATAGTAATGTAAATTGATATCATTTTGTTCGTTTTTGAAATTTAATTTTGAAATATCATATTTCTTTAAAATTTATTTACATAAAAAAGTCAGTACGTTGAGAACCTTACATCTCTGAACTCGTATCAATCGTTATAAAAGTTCTCGCCTGATAATAAGTAAAATCAACTATAAAAAATTCTTGTGACACTAAAATCACTAATATTATTAAATGTATTGTGTGGTTAAAGTAATGTCACTACTATCTACTAAAAAATGAATTTTTTTCCCTCAATACAAACACTTTCTAAGTTGGATTGTTGCTTGAGGATAAACAATGCTTAAGTGTGTGGATATCTGATGAAGTTTGTTAACACTTTTAGCCTTATATTAAATCTGAAGAAACCCCCCCCCCAAATAGGAGTAAATCATTAGTCATATACTCAAAGTAGGAGTACCAAACTTATATACCTAAAGTAGGAGTGAAATTTAAAATAAAATGAAAACTAAACCCATTTGCGACTACTTTGAACTCTAGGCTAAACAATAAAATCATTTTAATAGCAAGGAAAAGTCAATTAAATGTAGGGGTGAGTGGGGTGCAAATTTTCTAAATAAATGGAACAGGGAGTTAAAGTGCAAAAGCGGGCCCACAATACTTCTCTCCTATTCCCGCGGACTGCCAATATTTGCATTCTTCCTTTTTGTAATAAGGCCCCTTCCTCCTTCTCCTTCACACTCCATCTTATTTTGCCCGTCTCCCATTTACATACATACTTATGTTGTCTTTTTGCCCCCTTATAGCCGCTGCCGGCCTGCCGTCGTCACACCTAATCGCGCCATCACTGTTGTCCCCCTTGCACCGGCAACATTCATCGTCTCTCTCTTCTCAATCAATCCCCATCGCTCCCCGTGCCACCACCACAGATCCATCGTCTCTCTCTTATACACTTACATGTTTGGCATTATATATGCATTGGCATGTTTTTCCGTATGCATTTTTATCTTTGATATTTTGGCTTCGGTTGACATTATAATGGTGTCACTGCTAAGAGAAAAAACTTTCAATACAATGCTAACCAAAGCCACAATGTCAAAGACAATAATGGATATTAATAAACATGACATTGCATAACGCCAAACATGTTATTGTGTAATGCCAAACATGTCAATATAAAATGTCAAAAAGAAAGTGAAATGTCAAGATTGCCAACATATAATGTCAAGTTTCTTATCGCTATCACCAAATTTTGCTGAAATTGGGAGCAAAATTTAAACACAACTAATAGAGATAGAACCAAAAAAATTAAAAGAAAAACAATCAAATACAAAAATGAAAAGAGAAAATCAAACAAAAATCAATGTCGTCTAATGAAGACGCAATTTTGGAAGAAACAAAGGATGAATGCAATTCGTTGGAAGTATTTCTTACTTCTATGATGCGGTCTCAATTTTAGAGCATTTAGAAGCTATTAAAAATAAAAATCATAGACGGCAGAACAGGGCACACCGGCGGCTGAGATTTAAATAGTGCAGTTTGAAGCATCTGATCATGGCGGCGGTGACAGAGATTAAAGGGACATCGACATCGACGATGGTAGAGGTGTTGTTTTAGCGGCGGTAGATGCGCGATATCAGCGGCGGTAGATGCGCGATATCAGTGACGGTAGGGGGCGTGGCAGCGGTTGGGGTGCTGGCGTTGCCGACGGCGACATGGCACAGTTGAGCGGCCATTGATGGAAATTTTGTACAGTTGAGCAGCATTGACATGACACAATTGAGCGTGGCATGACACAATTGAGCACGACATGACACAATTGAGTGGAGAAGAGGAAAAGTCTATTTCGGATTTTATCTTTCAACTCCTATTTTGGGATTTAATCAACGTTTTACTCCTATTTTGCTCCTTAACCCTTAAATTTGGTTGATTGATACCCAAAATAATATTTTTTTAATAAAGCATTTTTCTAAATTAATAAGTAATAATTACTTACATAATACTTCATAATTGAGATATATTCTCTTGATAGTCCCTAATAAATGATAATGTCTTATATGGTACTTTATAATTTATACAATTATAGTCTTCCTTATCCCACTTGGGTAAGCCGTAAGCATCCCACAAAATCTTGAAAAGTTAAGTGTTTTTAATTTTTAATGCTCAAGCCAGCTCATATGTTCATTTATTAATTTTGCGCCAATCATGATACTTTTGAGTACTATGAATGCTTTTTAGGATATGTCATGCCACGAAAGCTGTTAAGGCATAAGGAAGAATTGTTGACCAAAAGCCGATGTGAATATTGAAGAAATTCATTAATTCATGACTCTCAATCTGTCAGGAGTTTGAAGTCGCCAAAAAAACAAGTTGCTTTCTTTATCAAAACACTTAAAATAGACTATAGGATTGCCAAATTCAAAATAATGAGAATGCAATGGTTATTTTCTTAAGCTCACTATTCCATAAAAAAAGTGTCAAACTCATTCGAGATCGTCCTACACATATTCCAGGACATATAATCAGCAGCTACGAAAGGTCTTCACCCCTTCATTCAACATACATTCTCCATTCCATCCTCTTCTCCCTTTTAGTAGCAAAGTAAATAACCATATGGTATTTACTCTTATTTATAGATTTCCCTTTTATTAAGGAGTTCACTAATTTAAATTTTCTTCTCTTTTTTATCTTTTTATTGTTTATAAATCAGTGCATAATGTGATGGGTATATTGGGACGAAAGATATATATACATGTGATTAGTTTAATATATATTTATCCAAGTAATCATGCGCCTAGTGGTTTTAACCCCAATAAAAGGCAACCCATGAGCCCGATTGGCAGGTTGATCCACCTAGGGTGTGAGATATGTTTGATGGGCTGGAAACGATATCATTAGAGTTAGTAACTTGAGGAGAAGTTTGTCTAGTTTCCTAAAGAGACTTGGTTAGGTTAGGAATTTATAAATACTCCCCCTAAGATGTTCTCATTTTGACTTTTGGTGGTTTTTAAGGAGAGTTAAAAAAAGGTGAAAGTTTACCATAATACCCTTAATGAAAAATGGGTGGAGTGTATTAAATGAGGTGAGTGAGGTGTGATAAATAAAGTAAGTGAGGGTAGTTGTGATATTTTAATTGTTAAAAAATGAAATGAGAAGATCTATTATGGACAAAGAAAAAGGGCTATTGGGAAGATCTATGGGGGACGGAGGGAGTATTATTCCGTAATTCTTGAGAGAGATTGTGAGATTTATATTTAGGCTCCATTTGGTACACGGAATTCAAACTATGGAATTGGAATTGAATACCTCAATTTCAATTCTGGTATTTGGTAGCACAAAAATTATGCGGATTTAGAATTGATAATTGGAATTGGTGGATTCAATTCTATGGAATTGAATCCCATGAAATTTCAATTCCAAGTCAATTCCAATTCCATCAATTCTGTATACCAAACTGACCCTTAGTGGAATTAAAATTCCATCACATAACTAATTTCAAACCCACAAAACAAGAAAATGGACAAACACAAATGAGGCATATCACTGTCATGGCTGAGGAGAATACTCTCACCTTGAAATTCATTCACCCTTGCCTTGTTAAGGTCAAAACAGATCCATGCAGTTTTCATTTCCAAACAAGTATATAACACATTGAATACACGCATGAGTTCTATAGATTCAATTCATAATAATCCAAGAATATCTTGATTAGGGATACAACAACAACAACAAACCCAACATAATTCCAACTCCGTTGCGGTCAAGATGCACGCAGATAATAATTCCAATAGCACCAAATTCAACAATTCACGAAAGCAATGAGCTTTGTTATTAATGAAAAAACAGAGTTGCAAATATTTCCAGCTTCTTTTGCAATCGTGCTTTGGCGCAGAAAGGAAAATTATGGCTTAGTGGGCTGCCAGGGCTGGTATCTTGTCCAGTCTCTTTGCCCCCGGTTTAGGGAGTGCCCTTTGGAATGATATATATACTCATCGCCCTCTCCAGAAAAGTTCTCTTTGTGCTCAACCCCATACCGTTTTGGTTTCAGCAATAGCAGCTGCACCACAGACAGTTTAGATTACAACGTGTTTTGATGATGGTCAGTGATGAAAAAATAGCAACAAAAAATTACTTCTGGGTACCCTTGATTTTCTGCTCAGAACCCCATATTTTCCAAAATAACTTCAGGGGCGCTTATATTTTGTGGTAATGTACCCCGAGGGTACATTCTGTCAATTCCACCTTTAGAAGTTAACGGCCCGCTAGTTTGACATATTAAACACCCTAAATTTCCTATGATGCCCTTATCATAAGTACTCCACGGTACTTAAAGTTTTAAACTAAGAAAAACAAAGAACTCACAGGTCCCTAATATGCCTTCCTACCAGGCCTTTCTGGCAAACCTTCTTTCCTGCGAATCCCTGAACAACCTTCTTCTATTTCAGGCAAACCTTCTTTCCGACGACAATTGTCCAAAACCAAAAAAATTAAAAAAAAATCAGGTACTAAGAATACTCTAATTTAATTCTTACGCACGTTATCCAAAAGTATTCTAACTTAGTCTCTATATTATCAATACTATCGGTGTGACCAACAAGAATCAACATTTAAAAAAAGAAATAACAGTGAAAATCATAGTTATCACGGCGCCGCCTAGGCATCCAGGCGCCCTTCTACTCTCACCATGAGAGCTCGCCTCGCCTTATTTTGCATACCTCGCCTAGGCGTCGCCTTGGCCTCGCCTTAGCCTCGCCTTGGCTTGCCTAGTCCAGGACTAATGTTTTTTTTGCTCCACTGCTTTACTTTTTAAGTGTTTTATAACACCGGCTGCAGTGCTTTGTTTTTTTAATGCTTTATAAATAAGTTAATTTGCAAGTTAATGTTTTTTCTAATTTATCTTCCTAATTCATACTCGGTGCTTACAACAACAACAACCCAGTTAAATCCCACAAGAGTAGGGTCTGGGGAGGGTGTGTGTACGCAGACCTTGCCCCTACTTGAAAGTAGAGAGGCTGTTTCCAAAGAGACCCCCGGCTCAACGTCGAAAGTTGCATTGCTTGACTAACTGCTACTTCATTAATTAAAGAAGCGCAGACAGTTTAGAGATCCATTTTGATTTATTCCATCACACCCCAAAGCCAAAAAATGGTGAAATTTTGGCTCCATCGGAGATGATGGAAATAAACCGGCTCAACGTCGGTGCTTAATTCTTTTAAATTTTAAATGATAAATTTATTACCCACTTAAGTCAGTAACACTTTTTTTTCAACTTTGTTTTTTAGGAAAGTACTTAAAAGTAATTTTGGTAGTTAAACTTTGATGTATTAGAAAGATTTAAACTTTACCAACTACAATATATAATTTGATATATTTATATTAGTGTTTTTAATGTATAGCAAATCTCCTATATTAATTGTCGCCTAGGCAGTCGCCTAGTCAACTAGGCGTCCTGGCGGTATCCAAGTGCCGCACCTCGACTTGGGCGCCGTGATAACTATGGTTAAAATGCAATAAACAAAAAAATGTAAAAGAATTTATAATACAAACGTTAAAATAATGTGAAAACAAAAGGGAAGAAACGGAACTTGAAACAAAAAATGAAAGGAAACTCGGAAACATATAAAAGAAAACAAAAATCGAAAAAATTGGAAAAGAAAACAAAATCTAAACGGTAACCCAGGGGCATTTCTGTCAATTCACCCCTCTTAAGGGTGGAATTGACAGAATGTACCCTCACAATACATTACCACAAAACTTAAAATACCCCTAGAAGTATTTTTGGAAATATGGGACTCGGGAGTTCTATGCAGAAAATCGAGGCTACACAGAAGTAATTTTTTAATTTTTTGCTATAGTAAGGGCAAAACGACTTACCTCATCTCCAGTGTGGTCAGTGATAAAATGGAGCCAGCCATGCCATTCTGGTGGAACTTGTGAAGCATTGTAGCGACCCTTTTGTGCATATTCCACCCACCTATGTCTTCCTACTCAGTCAAGTCCAACAAAAACAGTAATAATCTCAATTACGTTTACACTAGTAATCTCAAATAACTTTAACCAAAAGCCCCATTTGAGTATTCAAGTGGTAAGGAGTTAGCACCTCCATTCAGTGCGTGAAACTTTAAGTGAACGCACAATGTTTTTTTTGGAAAAAAAGTGCACAAAGTTAATGGAGAAGCATTATAGTCATTATGTTTCAGTCAACAAAAGCCGAAGGTAAACAACACCAACCTTCCAAATCAAAATCGAGCTAGGTTGTAGCCTAAATACAATCATTGAGTCAAACAATATAATTCATTCATCTTAGAGTATTCGTAAAATCTTAGTTTTTTAGTCAAGTTGGGTGAACTTTATTCATCAATTAAAAATAAATTGCATTGTGTACTAATACAAAAATGATTTCATTAAATTTTTCTTGCAAGAAACTTTCAAAACATTATTGCACTATATTAATATGCAAAGCATTCTTTATTTAATTGATAATCAAATTTCATCAAGTTTGACTGGAAAAGTGTCATACTTGATGAATAGTACATGACGGAGGGAGTATGACTTTTAGAAAGTACTTTTATGAGGTTCAATACCCCCCCCCCCACACACCCCCACATACACATACTCACGCCAAAGGTCTAGGCCATCAGTTTCAATATAAGTTTGGAAATTTTAGTGAACAGAACCCTCCCTAAAATAAGTGAATGCCGTGTGTGAATATGATCTCAAACTGTTAGTCATACACTTTAGGTTATCATACCGACTAATAGAGTAATAGTTGCAATTTAACTTGCCAAACCTACTTAAAACAACATACAAGGTCAAACACTCAGCAATCAGCAGAATACAATAAGGGTGTATTAGAAAAATGTGTCCCCTCGTGCCAGAAGGAGGCCCCACATGGCAGGAATATAGAAAGAGAATATGAGAAATAAAATATAAACGTATCCACTAATAAGTGAAGCCTTGAAGGTGAGATCACTTAACTGATAATCCCCCAATCACACTTCCTTTTTTGTTTGTCCCCATAATAATGTTCCACTTTTCTTTTAAAGAAATGATTATAAGGTTTACATCATTTTCCTCTCAGCTCTGCATAACTCTAAACAACTCAATTTCGCTTCTCTTAATAATCAGGTTTGGTCAATTATGAAACCTTACTTCAGGACTAAGGGAGTAGTTTGATTGATACTCACTCAGTCCCAAAAAGTCACAATTTATAAAAAGACAATTTTTTTCATTTATTTTGTCATTAACTTGCCAGACCATGTCAAAGACACATTAAATATGATGCACTTACTTAAACAAACAGATACCTAGTATGTTTTATTCATATACATGTGATTTTTAACAGTTGTGCTTTGCCAAAACTTAAAACTGTACCTTGACCAAAATATGACATTTTTGTGACGGAGCCCGGAGGGAATAACATTAATGAGAATAAAGGAGTTGTATTGCTTCATACCACATTGAGTGTCTCCAAGCTTCTGATAGTATTTGTTACCAAACTTATCAACACCAACAAGTGTTGCCCCTATGTTGTGAAGCTTGGTTTTTCTGATGATATGAGCGAAAACAATAATTTTATTAAACATCAATAACAAAGCTAAAATCCATTCTTGGGCCTTTTGTTCTGTGGTTTATAATGATTATCCATGGTTTAGAAATGGATAACCATGTTCGTTTCCATATGTGTTGTATGGTTTTTATGTTAATGAGTAATTCATGGTTTTATTTTAATTCCAAAAACTTCATAGAGAGTACTGTACATCATAGGAAGCAATGAATGTTTCATGTTTGATCCAGTGCAATATTAACCCAAAGCTAAATCATTGTCAAAATTAATCATTTAGCTCCATTGGCAATGGACGAAATACATGATATAAAATGAATGAAAATCTCCCCCGACCACTCCTTCTCTGGTTTTAGCGGCAAGGGCCAAGGGGTACTAATGACTAACAGCTGTTAAACCAGACAGGAAAATAGCTTATCAGTTGGAGAGTAAAAGTTGTACTCACAGGAGATTTCCATCAAAGAAGCACTTCCTGTAAAACAAAATGCAACAGATCACTATGCAATTAGTCGAGAGATCTTAGTAATCAGGACAATAAAAGGGATTCAAGAAATCATTTGAGCATCTAAAACATATTTCGCTTTAATCGGTGATTTAAGAGAACACTATAAGAATGCAATAAATCAGATCTGATTTGACTAACAGGCAACTGAGGCATGTTCTGGCTTGATAACCAGTGAATCAATCCTAAAATACCTGACCAAGTCCAAATATACAACAGCATAAAGTTTCAGCCACAATCATCCATAAAAGGGATACAGTGATTATGCAAGAACAGCTATCCAGATAGATCCAAAAGATTAAAAGCAAAAGTGATTCTTCTTTTATACGAAGCTAATTATACATATTAATCTGCAACCATATTGGAGCGACAATTGACGGAGAGTGGCACAAAATTGATGCAACTGGAGTCGCAAAGACATTTTAACCGTTCATTTCTTTTGCAGGCTTGATGAGAATTCACCCAAATTACCAATTTCACGAATTCGGTGGACTGGTTGCGAACCCTATCAACAGGCTATACAGAATTTCAGCTTTCGCTTTGAATGAACAATTTTTTTAAAAAAAAGATAGGTTTTTGAGATGCGAAGCGAGATCAACGCAGTCGGTGTTTTCTGGCATCAAGTTTGCATTGAAAAAAGTAAGAAAGAACCATCCATATGAAACAGTTGTATTTATTTATATGATGATGATGATGATGATGATTGTAGCACTGACGTGTAGCCTTCTTCTCTGAGCTCCCTGATAAAGTTTCCGACGCCCTTTTCCCGCAACGCCTTCAATGCATTCTTCACCACCGACGCCATCTCTTCAGTCTCACGGTATCACACTACTATCACCCGATTCTCCCCTACCCACAAATCACAATCCCACTTTGACCATCTAAAGAAGAGGGTGTACCTCATTTGTCCATCACCCTCTTCTCCACCACACATATTTATTTTATTTTTAATTATTTATTTATTTTTAAATTTTTTGCCCATTTATGTGGTGGAGGAGAGGGTGAGGGACAAATGGGGTGAGAAATAAATACTCCGGACTACGTTGGGGTGAGAAATAAATACTACAAAGGGGTGAGGTTACCAAGTACCAAATCGATCTCGATATTTTCTGAAAAACTGATATTACGCTATCAAAAAATACTGAATCGATAAAGTACTGAAAAGACTCGTATGGTACCAAATCGAATGGTTGGTGCGATATTTGGGATCGGTACGAGGTAACTTTCCATACCGAAAAATCTCAAACTGAAAATTAATACAAATATGTTATAAATAATAATAATGTTTTTATATTTCTTCATAAAATAATGAATTGATTTTGAAAAGTTGGTTCCAGGGTAGATGAATTACGAATAATCTTTTATTTAAATAATCATTTATTTGAATTTTAATTATTTGTAGATGAATATAAAAAACTAACAAACATTTAAAATACTATTTTGTTATCATTCACTCTCTTTTGTTTGTGAAATATGAAGTATAAATTAAATTAAGTTTTACGAGCATTTCTTGTATTTAATTATTCATTATTCATTTTTTATTTTTCTTTATTTGAATGTAATTTTGATTTTTTAAATAAATTTTTTTATATATTTCAAAATATAAACTAGGTACATATATATATTCATTTTAATATTTACCGAAACTGAAACTGAACCATCGAACCGATACTTCGGGATCGATACGATGTAAAATCCCATACCGAAACGAATATTTGGTATGGTGTTGGTACGAACCAAATACCGTACCATACCGTATCACGCCCTAATAATACTTCTTACTCTGTAACAACAAGAAGCAAATAGAGAAAAAGATTAAATAAGGAGTAAAATATAAACCAAATTTCAAAATAAGGGTTCCATTATTTATTTTCAAAATAAGAGTTATAATGTCAATAATGTCAATAAATAATACGAAAAAAAGACTGTGAAATGCCAACATGCATTGTCACATTGTTGCAGTACAAATTCCTATTTGGAATAAAAATATGCTTCTTCTATTTAGAGATAAGAGATATATTTTAAAGAAATCTTCCCAGATAAGAGTAAAAGAGTAATGAAAATATCAAAATAGGAGTCCTAAGTCTTTTAATACCAAAATAGGAGTGTAATGAAAGTGTGGTGTAAAAGTGCATGCTGGCACTGTGTTGGAAAAGTGACGATAGTGTAATATATTAGTAAAATCAGTCAATCGTTGGTGATCCGCGACGTCACTTTGGTGGCCGGTCGTGACGAATGGCAGTGTGGCAATGATAGTGTAACAGTTACAATGTGACAATATGGTGAGTGTGACAGTTTAACAATGACAGTGCAAACTCGTATTTCGGTCTTAAAAGACTTATGACTCCTATTTTGGTATTCAAATAGTTTTTTACTCCTGCCAAGGGAGTTCTCCCTATATTTTACTTCTACTTTAGATGATTTCTTACACAAATACTCCCTCTTTCTAAAATTGTCTTCTCGTTTACTTTACATAGCCTAACTTATTTACTTTGTTGGCATGTTTCTGTTGCCCATTTGGAAAAATAATATAGTTAATTATGTCACCTCTAGTTTTGTAAATTTTTTATTCTGTTTTTAAATATGTAGTCTTTATATATTAATTCTACACTGTTTTTATAAAAAATGATCTAAAAATAAATAGATAAGAAAGAGTTTTAGAAGGAGCAGAGTGTTTCTGGATTGATGAATTTTAGAATCCGGGCCTAGAGTAGACTAGGTAAGAAGAGTAATTAGAACGAGAAGACTGTCCCTAGATTGCAAGAGTGTAGTATGAGTGTATTATTGCTTAGTCGGATTGCGATTCCCTCCTCCAAAGTGGAGGGAGTATTTATTTATAACACCCTAATCCGTCCAGGTTTGTAGCCCTTTCGGACTAAAGTATTAACGTGGTAACGTAAAAATTTCAAACATTTAAAAACTTTATTTCAAACAATTGTCCAAAATATTTCATAATTACATCGGAGTAAAATTATTTAAAACAGTGCAGAAGCAATTTGTAAACTACAACAATATGGTCAACCAATGTGATAAAAGCATTTACTTAAATAGTATATTTGTTCATGTCCATGTATCACACCTATCTCAGTATTCTTCAAAATAGGCTCCACATTTATTCTCTCTCATACTTACGTGTAGAAATATGAAAAAGTCTACACGCTCAACAATGAAGTTGAGTGGTACCATGACACAACAAAAGAATTCATAGAATAATTTCTTAAACAATACCAATCACATATATATGTTCAAATATTCGCTTTTCATATTTAAAACTGTCTTTGTTATTTTAACAACGATAATTAACAACATGTAACGCCCCAAAATATACCATAAAATTTGTTGAATTAAATATTCAATTAAACAAAATTTGTTTTGATTAAAATAAATTGTTGCTGGGCTTTGGGCTTGAATAAAATATATATTGATATCCAATAAACATAATTGGGATAAATCTCATAGAGATAAATCCAACATGTTGATTTATTGTGTGATCTTGATTAGGACATGAGTACAGACCCAAATTAAGAATAAATGAAGAAATTGTTTATAAAGTGAACTTTGAAATGATTTATTGAAATAAATCATGGAAATAAATAATATGAATTAAATGTGAGAACCTTTTTGAATAAAGGACAATTAAACCAATTTTGACTCTGTTAAAGTCAATCACCCAAAAATATGATGTCGGAAAAAGTATAACGAATAAATATAAAAATTATATCGTTGGATAGAGTTTAATTGCACGATCGCAACGGTGCAAACAGATTTCAATTCAGAGAAAGTTGTACCAAAAAGTGTACCCGACTGGAACCAAAATTAGTCCCAATCAGGGACTTGCGTCTGGGAATCCTAGCAATCGCCGCTCCCTCCACCGAGACGCCAGAACAGGGAAACGGACATGTGTCTTCTTCCCGTCGCCGGAGATAGCTACAATTCTCGCCGGAAGTTTTGCCGGAAAATCTTCAAAACCTCCATTAAGCTTCGAGGTAAGCCCGTAGATATATCTAGTGATTAGAATGTTCGTATAGATCGTTTTTACGTTCATAAACGGTCATTTGGTTGAGTTTTATGTTTGACATGTTTGAAGAACCAAGAATCATAAACCAAGAAATTATTGTTAAAACTACAAATTAATGACTCTAAAATGATCTGTGAACATTGGGGAACATTCCTATATAATTTAATTGAAGTTTGGTAATTAAAAATTATAATGTTAAAAATTGAACAAAGGAAGAAGATGATGAACAGTGGCCGAAAATCGATTATTTCCTTCCTAATAATCGATTAAAAATTTGTTCAGATAGTCAGTATATTTAAAAATAATAATAATCGATTATTTTAATCATAAAAATCGATTTAACGTTATTAATTGATTATTTTAATTATAAAAATCGATTATTATGAATTAATTGATTATTTAAATTGTAAAAATCGATTATTATGAATTAATGGATTATTTAAATTGTAAAAATCGATTTTTTATGAATTAATCGATTATTTATATTGTAAAAATCGATTAAAATTAATTAATTGATTATTTAAATTGTAAAAATCGATTTTTAGTAATTAATGGATTATTTAAAATATAAAAATCGATTTTTAGCAATTAATTGATTATTTAAAATATAAAAATCGATTTTTA